AAGTGCAATTAATCCAGTTATACTACTATATGTCTACTTTGTAACTAAAGCAAACCATACCGTATCATATTATTAAACAATGTCAGACCCGGTGCCAGAACAAACTTTACCACAACGAATGATAATTGTGCCGCATGCAATTTCTGCAAGAGCATATTTCTTCAACCTCGAATGGCCGGTGGATTTATGAGCATTCGGTATATACAGTTTACAGGCGTTTAAAATGACGATTTTCGTTGACATTAACCTTAAAACTTGCAGATGGAACTTCCGCTGATGGTACAGAAATTCAGTGAAACGAACGCTGTGCAAAAAGAAAATGTCAATCAGTTTGGGCTGTCAATACGCTATATGACTTTGAAAACATGGGCTTTTCAAACACTGTAGGCACCATAAAATACCTAGTGTGTGCAGATTGTGAAATGGGACCTGTTGGATATTATGACCTATCCACAAAGAAATGCTACGTGCTCTCAGCAGAGTAACGGATCATGACAAATAAAAATGATAACAATAAATTTTTATTTACAATATCCTAAAAAACGCTTGCAAATCTCTATTTTTTACTATCATATTTTTGGCACCATTAAGTTATTCATGAACTCTAGAAGTTATTTATGAACATCAGTTGGTTATTTTAAATACTTTGTTATTTATTCTCGCTGATTTATGAGCTAATATAATTTATATTATAATTTAATATTTGGATATTGCATTCTTGACAAGTTTCAAAATATTGAGTCACTAATAGTATTATACTTTTTAAAATATTTTCACATAAGATTTTTGTTTCTAGTTTTTGTATCATATTTTATAATTTGACAATTGAATAGTTTATATCAATTATATTAGCCAGTTTAATATACGAGGTAAATCTTAATTCGTCATTTTTGTCTGAACGTTTGTATAGTAAAGCCAATATAGGCTGTTGTTTAGTCATGTAATATGTAGGTAATGCATTAATATCAAAATTCATAGGACTTAAAGCATTACTATGAACAAGCCATTTTGTATTTATAATAAAAAGATATTATATATTATTTACTAAGTGTCTGTAAGCATATATTTATATGAATTGAAGAAGTTTAAATATAGCAATGTTTTTAAACATATTGTATGTTCTATCAGAATATCACATATCTTATATATTGATAATAATGAATATTATTACTATTAAGGGCATGAAATAGAAACTTGGAGGACTTTGTGATGGTTTGCAAAAATCACAGTACATATATTCAAAATTCTAAGAGCGCAATTAAATTTGTATAAATACAAATGTTGGAACATTCATTTGTAATGAAATCAGTAAGTTTTGATATAATTTAACATGCTGACAAAAACAGATACTACTATGCGGTTTCAAATAGTTCATTAAAAAAATACATTTTTCATAGTTAGTTAACTTCTCCAACCAAAAATGAATGCTTTTGCAGGAAAATCCAATTTTCTAATAAAATTTGTGTTTTCTAGATGCTGAAAGTCATTTTGAATTGTTTGACCACAGAAGTATGTGAGCCAAAATTTGACTTTTGTAGAAGTTTTTTCAAATACTGCTGCACCTGTTTCACGAACTTAAAAACATTTAATAAAGCTCGATAAAGACTGGTGCTGATTAGTTTTGCGAGGCAATCGTATTTTTTTGGTATTTGGAGAAAAGTGCAAAAATACTTTACTAAATATGATTAGCGGATTATACACTACTAATATAATAATAAATACCAGTATAATATACTCTACTAATATAATAATAAATACTAGTATAATATACTCTACTAATATAATAATAAATACTAATAAACACTTTACTATGTAATAATAAACACTCGAGAGTGCTCTACTAATTTTATGATTATGGCATTAAAAGAAGCCTGCTGCCCACTCAAGAGGGTATCAAATGGGGTAGGTAATATTTAATTCACAAACAGTAATACCCCACTTAATACTAATTTTTTTTTTTTTGATGATATAAATGTAAAAGATTTCAAAGAATAAGTGAAATAGGTCTTTCAAATGATGAACTAGGCAGAGAAATAACAAAAATATTTATGGAAGCGATGTCTAAAAGGAACAAGGAGAATTTTTAATTACGTTTGTAAATAGGTCTTTTACCTTTTATACTGAATTTATGAACCAATTTATTGAAAATGATCCAAATATTTACAACAGTTCAAAAGCAAGACGAGGTGCTATAGATAGAAAATACACAAACTACATTAGATGACTTCTTCATTATGTAGCTAAAAATTGAAAGAACAAAATAGAAAATTCAACTTTTATTAATATGTCATATTCTAATATTGTCCAGGTAACTAATGATTTATGCTTGGTAAATTGAGGCTTTCGATCTCTAGTTCATTTAATAGAACGATGTAAAGCGGAAGACAGACAGACAGTTACCAGGAAAGAGAAATTATAAAAGTATGCAATACACCTCATAGCCTGATACTTGACCAAATTAAAAAGCTCACTGGAAACTTTTACCTCAAATGTAGGGATCACTTGAATAACAACATCCAGGCCCTGTATACACAGAAAATAGTTTGGTACAGTAAACATGCCATGCCAAACTATATACTGATCCAACCATAAATGTAATTAGAACCCCTGTTATTTTGCTAAATACAATGTGAATTTTTTATATTACATAGAAATGTACTGATGTAAAATATCTAATTAAGTATAATACCCAAGGATAGACAACTTAACTAAACCGATCCAACTTTATGTAGTATACAATTTATATATTGTAACATATCTTTTTTGAATTGAAATTGAAAACATTAAATACAAGATGGACTATTTTCCCAGTAGTGGGAAATAATGTCACTAAGAGCGCGAGTTTTCAATTATTGCAAGACATATTCATTAAAATTGTTGCATCTAAATATTCTATTTTTTTTATTCAGCACTAATAAATAAGTTGATCCGTTTAAAATATTTGTGAAAATTGATATCTTCGATTTGATGGCATAGAAACAATTGTCTAACGACTGATTGACTGATTTATAAATTCCCTCCCCGCCACAAACGTCAGTGTAGTTAGTATCAAATTAACTGTGCTTACGGTTACTACAACTCTACTAGACAGATGTAGATAATACACATGAATTGTTAAATGTTTTGTGGACTTTTACTGTTTTACTTATTTTGAGGTGGTTGCAAATTAGTCACACCTAAAAAATTGATATTATACTTTTTTTTTTTTAAATAAATATATATTATAAAACTATAGTGAGAAATGTTGTGGGGGCAAGCTCTACGTTTTTCAAGGTTAGCATATAATGTAAGCAGGAACGTAGGATTTGCGACACCAAAAACGAATATTGAAGCAACATTCAAACGATTAATATCAGTAAAACCTCCTGTTTTACAAGAGGACAAGTAAGTTAAAAATTGTTTTATAAGTTTGTTTGAAAATGTAAGTCACAGTCAAAGTGTATTGTTCTAGTCAGGGTCCTCAAAGCCAAAGTTCTGTAATAACCAGCTTAATCCTGGGGGTTACGTTCCAAGAAATTAGAGCGTCAAACGGGGCTATCTTAACCTGTTAATAACGGAGTTAGGGAAAGATGGATAGAAAGTTGGCCTTTCCTTAAATTTAATAACTGGTTATTCTTAATAAAAATTTAACATGACATTCATTCATAAAACTATTCAGATAGACTGAATGGATCTTTTGAAAGTCATCTAATGTAGTTTGTGTTTTTTCTATCTATAACACCTTTTCTTGCTTTTGAACTATACTACTATCAATATTTTTGTTATTTTTCTGCTTAGTTCATTGTTTCATATCATTATTAAAAAATTCTATTTAAGTATTTCTTCAAAATCTTTTACATATATCTCATCTAAAAGAATCAGCATTAAGTGGGGTATTACTGTCACTCGTGTGATTTCGATTTTATACAAAAGTACTACATATTTTGAATTGAATAAGCTTATTAGATCATGAACAATGTATGCCCACAAGTATCGATTATATACATGTTGCAATACTTAAAAACTCATTTTATTAAAGTTTTAATTCTCACTTTTAGGCTTTAATTAGAAACAATAGAGTTGTCATATAAAATATTACAGCATAAAACTATTGAATATTTAGTCTCTTATTAACATATTTAAATAATTTAATTATTTATTAAGTATAATTTCAAATCTGTGGAATCGTATTAATCATTATAAAAAAGTAAGAATTAATTATTAAACATTAATAAGATAGCCTTTAATTTAAGTTGTACCTGCATATAATATTGATTCATAGTTACTTGAATTCCAGATCATTTTGTTAACAAAATGAATAAATTGACTGTGCACATATTTTCTACAGCTAATAATATTGTACTCAATTATGTTCCTAAACAATTCTTCTCTTGAAGGATATCTGTCACCTTTGTGAAAGCCAATGGTGAAAAGATTGAAGCTAAAGGAAAAGTAGGAGATAGCCTTTTAGATGTGGTGGTAAATAATGAAATTGATCTTGATGGTTATGGAGCCTGCGAAGGAACATTAACATGTTCAACTTGCCACCTTATATTTGAATCTGCTGATTTTGATAAATTGCCAGAAAAGGCTAGTGATGAAGAATTAGACATGCTAGATCTAGCTTATGATCTAACAGATACTTCAAGATTAGGATGTCAAATTATTTTATCAAAAGAGTTAAATGGACTTGTTGTAAAAGTACCAGCAACCATAAATGATGCACGAAGCTCGGATTTAAAATAATGTTTGAATATCTATTTATTAACTGATTTTAATTCTTTTAAACAATGTTGAACAAATATGTACAGCAATTTTTATCATGTTTAAATGTATATAGATTATTGTTATTAAGTGGTACATAGTTTATTTTTACAGTTGCAATAAAAGTATAATATTTAATAAAATTTATTTATATACGACAGGAACCTGATTTAATAAATTTACATACATAAATTTTTGCTTGTTTATTATAATTACATTGTGAATCCCATCAAAATAGGTAAAAGTATATGTGTTTGTTTATGTTTGCGTGAAAATGAGCTGTCGCATCTATAAAATACAATTTTTTGCATATACATATTGATAAAATATATATGGCACTAAAGAGGTTTAATTCAAAGAAATATTATACATGTAAATGTAATAAAGTAAAAATAGTTGTTGATGAAAAGCAAAAAAAAATTTCAAAATAAACAGTAAAAAGTGTTAATCAAATAGGTAAATCGTAATTCTCATTAATTAAGCATATACTTAATGGAGTGTATACTTAATAAAATGTGTAAATAATATATATTATTTACACATTTCGCGAAGTTCATAAAAGTTGTCTTATTGTAAATTGTCACTCACAACTATTTATTTTATAAATTCATAGCCTTAAAATATTCTGTTATAGTTTGTTATATTCTGAATATATATATATTTTTTTTTCAAAAAATTCAATCTAAATGGCAGTTGGTAACTGCTTTATCCGCAATATACTGTACAATACACAAAATTCTGCCATTTCTCCATGACGATTATTTTCGTTGATTACAGTTAACTGGTAAAATTGCTGATTTTCTTTAGATTTCAATGAAACTTTGAATAGTGAAGCGTCATGGTCTAGTCTAAACAAACATTCTAAAATATTATTATATAAACCTACGAAACATTAGACGTTTAATTATAAAATTTCATTAAAGTTTGGAATAACCGGAAGAATAATAGTTTTCGAAATAAACAAAATAGTTCAAATCTCGATTCCTAATTGATTGTTATATTGATTTATCTATATCGGGAAGTTCATGTAAGTTGGGTTAACGCAAATCGACACTTACACCTAGCATTGTAAATAATTTTGCGTGTCACGGATACTAGAAAAAACGGCCAAGTGAATAGCCTCGTTATGTACGAATTTTGAGAGCGCACGTCATATCTGATTTATTAAACACCGTTTTCAACGACCTTGGATTTCAATGGCACGTTATCATTATGACTATCAGATGTCAGAGGCAGTATTCAAACGTTATTTAATAATTTTCATGTATCTAATCTGTTTCAATTTGGGAAGAGATCGTTGCATAACAGTAATACTTGAACAAAGATAATATTCAAAATGCACGAATTTCACAAAAATGTAAATGTAAATTGTGGCTTACTTGAAAAAATATCTGAATTAAATACTACTAATTTAAATACTACGAATTTAAACTCAAGTCTCACTTATGTAAGGTCATCAAAATTATAAAAACTAATTTTTCATGCTTTGATACTATAGCTGTTTTGGCGCTTGAAACGTTTGCATACACAAATTTTTATTCTTATTATCTTTCCGTAGGGTAAGTTATAGTCAGGGCCGGTCCTGCCTTGAATGCAATGCATGCAAAAAATGCGGGCGCACGCCTTAGGGGGCGCCAAAACGAGGTTCGGTAATGGAATTTATAATATATTATTTTTTATTTTTTTAAATATAAAATCCTGAATACTTAATAGATTATGATAAACAATCCAACTTAACTATGAGTCATAAAAGGCATATTCATGTTTGCAATGTGATATCAGTAGAAACAATTAACCAAATAATAACTCTGCAAATTTGTAAATTTGTAAAAGTAACTGCTTATTATTTAATGTACTCTTGAATTTTTTTCTTCGTTTGAAGTTAACATGGAATCGAAAAAGAAAATATTTAGTGTTCAATCCCGTAAGAGCAAACCTACGAAAGTTTAAATTAATTATTGAGCGTTATTGATGAAAAATAGCAAGCTGATTTAGTTAAAATGGAACTTGTTAAAGAAATATATACTAATTATAATAGAGAACATGGAAAATGGGGAGTCAGTGCTCAAAAAATGGCTTGTTTATTCCGAAAAATTGTACTTTAACTTTTGTTTTTGTTGCAAACATATGTGATATATATCACATCTGATGAACTTTGAACGTTGAAGACATGCGTGGTTACGTTTACGGATACAAATTTTCAAAAACATTCGATTCGTATTTATAAGGAGAATCAAAAACATTCGATTTGTATTGATAAGGAGGCGTGCTCAGGGCCGGTCCTGCCTTGCATACGATGCATGCGAAAAATGCGGGCGCACGCCTTAGGGGGCGCCAAAACGAGATTCGGAAATGAAATTTATAATATATTATTTTATTTTTCTTAATATAAAATCTAGAAGGCTTAAGAGATTATAATAAACAATCTAACTTAACTATGAGTAGATACTAAGACACAAAAAGCGTATTCTGTTTGCAATGTGGTATCAGTAGAATCAATTAACCGATTAATAACTCCGCAAATTAATTAATTATTATTCTGCTTATTGTTTAATGTACTTATTAAATTTTCCGTCGTTTGAAGTTAATGTGGAATCGAAAAGAAATTATTTAGTGTTCAATCCCGTAAGCGCAAATCTACGAAAAAATAGAAACAAATTATAATAGAGAAAAATGGAAAATGGGAAGTCAGTGTTCAGAAAATGGCTTATTAAGACCCAGAAACTGAATAGTAACTTTTGTTTTTGGTGAAAATGTTTCGCATCTGATGAACTTTAAACGTTGAAGACATGCGTGGTTAAGGTGTTATGGAAATGGAGCAAATATGAAAAATGGAAGCAAAATGTACTTACAATTAGAAACAAAAATCGTGAACTATTTTTATACCTAGTGGTGTCCATACTAAATTTAATCATTAACTAAGCAGAAATAATACAGATACAAATATAATTGTGTTTTGTTAACTTCCCGTAGGGCAAGTTATAGTAATCGCAAAAAAATCGAAAATGAAAATTTTTGCATTTCTCGACGTTTCAAAGGTTTCTAAATATTTTGGCATACCTTAGAAAACATGGATGTATGTGTGTGTGTGTGTGTGTGTGTGTGTATGTGCGTGTGTGTATGTATGTGCGGATACAACTTTTCGTCGACGATTTTAGGAACACCGATCAACCGATTTGAATAATTCAAAAAACATTCGATTTGTATTGATAAGGAAACGTGCTGATTAGTTTTTGGCGAAGTCAGGTCTAGCCGTTCCGAAGATACGGGGCAAAAAGTGCCGAAAACGGTAACTCAGTTTTTAAGAGAACGGAGCGTCCGATTTTAATAATTCAAAAAACATTTTACTTGTATTGACAAGATGAAAAATCGATAAAATTTTCATGAAGGTAGGTCTAGCGGTTTCGGAGATATGGAGGAAAAAGTAAAAAAATGAGCCATTTGGCGGTCAAAAATGATCATTGGACATATGCACATCAAATTATCAGATATTTTATAGAGATTTTAACAATAAGTATACATTTTGTTAACATACCTATGGGTTCCGTACCAATGCTTATGCGTTAGACAGCGACGCGGCGCTTACGCGCTTTATATTTTGTCCCTATGCAGATAAAGCAGTACGATTGCTTTGAAAAAAAAGTTCAGATCTTCCACAATATGTCAAAATAAAGAAAAAAAAAAATTTTTCAAAAAAAAAAAAAATTAAAAAATTTTTTTTTTATTAAAAAGTTATTTTTTGTCCAATTTATAGTTTCTTAAAAATCTTATTTTTTCAAAGTAAATTTTTTTCAAAAATGTTAATCGTTTTTAAAAAAATAATAATTTTTGGTACGGGAAGTTCCAGCAATTTGCCTTAAGGCACGATGCCTTAATTGCCTTAAGACAGAATTCCACTTACAGCTAGTTTTTCAAAGCAATCGTACTGCTTGAACTGCATAGAGACGAAATGTCAAAGCGCGTAAGTGCCGCGCCGCCGTCTAACGGATAAGCATTGGTACGGAACCCATAGAGATGTAAAAAAAAATATACTTATTGCTTAAATCTCTATAAAATATCTGATAATTTGACGTGCATATGTCTAATGATCATTTTTGACCGCCAAATGGCATTTTTTTTACTTTTTTCATTAGATCTCCGAAACCGCTAGACCTGCCTTCATTTGATCAATTCTTCATCTTATCAATACAATTAAATGTTTTTTGAATTATTAAAATCGGACGATCCGTTCTCTTAAAAACTGAGTTACCATTTGTGGCACTTTTTGCCCCGTATCTTCGGAACGGCTAGACTTGCCTTTGCCAAAAACTAATCAGCACGTCTCCTTATCAATACGAATCGAATGTTTTTTGAATTATTCAAATCGGTTGATCGGTGTTCCCGAAATCGTCGACGAAAATTTGTATCTGCACACACATACACACACACACACGCACACACACACACACGCATACATCCATTTTTTTTAAGGTATGCCAAAATATTCAGAAACCTTTGAAACGTAAAGATATATAAAAATTTTCATTTTCGATTTTTTTGCGATTACTATAACTTGCCCTACGGGAAGTTAAGTAGTGGTGCATGACATCGTCTCTTAAGGCAAATTGCTGAAGCTTACCTACCGTACCGTATTGAAATATTCTAATTATAAGATTATTAAATGTTTTCAAATAGATTATTATAAATACTTTCATTATTCGTATTTTATAGACAGAGCTTATAAATTGGATGATGACGTTTACATATGTTTACATGAAAAGTAAATGAACAAAACTTAATAAAGCGGAGTTAAAATGAAGCATCTATCTCATATTTCTGAGAATTATATAAACTGAATTGCGAAGATAAAATTATTTATTTGATGTATATAAGTGAGTTTTAGAATGTAATTAAAACTAAAATTAAAATCCGAATTATTTTCGATATTCAAAAAAATATATTTGTTGAAAAAAAAAATTGTTTGAAATTTTGAAATCAATTTTTTTTTTGATTTTTTCAAAAACAATGGTTTTGTCGATAGACAAAAAGTTTTTTGAATCATTCAAATCGGATGCTTCGTTCTCTTAAGAACTGCCATTTTTACATATTTAGCTCAAAAACTTAATTTAGATTTTCAGCACTCTTTGCTCCATATCTCTGAAACGGCTGGACCTGCCTT